GCGTGCGTGGCCTGCTCGGCCAACTGCACGGCCTGCACCTCGACCAGCTCCTGCTCCGCCTGCCTGCCGGATCACTACGTGCATCTGGGCGCCTGTGTGTCCTCCTGCCCGAGCGGCTTCTTTGTGTCCGGCGGGAGTTGCAAGGCCTGCTCGGCCAACTGCACGGCCTGCTCCTCGGCCACGGCCTGCACCACCTGCGCCTCGGGCTACCTGAAGCACAATGATGCCTGCGTGTCGGCCTGCCCGGTGGGCTACTTCGCGGATGGGCCAGCCTGCTCGGCCTGCTCGGCCAACTGCAATGAGTGCACCTCGCCGAGCGTGTGTACCAATTGCAAGAGCAACTTCTTCCGGCACAACAACGCCTGTGTGTCCTCCTGCCCGAGCGGCTTCTTCGGCAGCGGCAGTGTGTGCTCCTCGTGCTCCGGCAACTGCGACACCTGCACCTCCGGCAGCCACTGCACCACCTGCGCCGCGGGCTACCTGATGCACAACAGCGCCTGTGTGGCCTCCTGCCCGGGGGGCTTCTTCAAGGATGGGGCCATCTGCTCGGCCTGCTCCAGTGGCTGCGGGTCCTGCACCTCGGCCAGCTCCTGTGGCGTTTGCTTGCCGGGTTTCTTCCTGCACCATGGCGCCTGCGTGGGCTCCTGCCCGACGGGCTCCTTTGTGGAGGGCTCCCAGTGCACGGACTGCTCGGCCAACTGCGCTGTCTGCACTTCGCCGACCTCCTGCACCACCTGCTCGGCCGGGAACTACCTGCACAACGGGGCTTGCGTGGCCACGTGCCCGTCGGGGTTCTTCTCCGGCAGCGGCCGGTGCACGGCCTGCTCCAGCCATTGCACGGCCTGCTCCTCGGCCAGCAACTGCACTGCCTGCGCCGCGCCCCACTACCTGCACAATAGGGCCTGCGTGGACAGCTGCCCGGCCGGGTTCTTCCCGGATGGGGCCCGGTGTGCCGGCTGCCCGGACACCTGTGCCTCCTGCACTTCCACCTCCAGCTGTGTTTCCTGCCTGCCGGGCTTCTCCCTGTTCGAGGGCCGATGCTTGTCCGCCTGCCCGGAGGGCTACTTCGACACCGGGGCCGAGGAGGGCGCCTGCGAGCCGTGTCTGCTGGGCTGCCGCGAGTGCAAGGCCGTCGACCGGTGTGGCCGGTGCCGGCTGGATCTCCTGGTGCTGGAGGGCGGTCCGGATGAGCCGGACCGGTGTGTGGCCAACTGCCCGGTGGGGCTGGCGGCCCAGGGCGACCGGTGCGTCGGCTGCGGCCCGGACTGCGCCGCCTGCTCCACTCCCGAGCAGTGTGACACCTGCCATGGGGGCTTCCTCCTGCATGGAGATGCCTGTGTGGCATCGTGCCCGGGCGGGTTCTTCGCTTCCAATGGAGCATGCCTGGCCTGCTCGGACAATTGCGACGCCTGCACCTCGGCCAGCAACTGCACGACCTGCCTGGGCGGGTACCTTCGCCATGCGGGGGCCTGTGTGGCCGCCTGCCCGGCGGGGTTCTTCCCTTCCGCCGGGGCATGCCAGAGCTGCTCGGCCCATTGCACCGCCTGCGCCTCGGTGGCCACCTGCACGGTGTGTGCCCCGGGCCATTACCTGCACCAGGGGGCCTGTGTGGCCGCCTGCCCGGCGGGGTTCTTCCCCTCCGGCGGGGCCTGTGCCGCCTGCTCGGCCCATTGCGACACCTGCGCCTCGGACACCCACTGCACCGTCTGTGCCCCGGGGTACCTGATGCATGGTGGTGCCTGTGTGGGCTCCTGCCCGACGGGCTTCTTTGCCGATGGCCCCACCTGCGCGGCGTGCTCGGCCGACTGCGCCAAGTGCACCTCGGCCAGTGTCTGCACCGCTTGCGATGTCGGGTCGCTCCTGCACAGGGGGGCCTGTGTGGGCGCCTGTCCGGGGGAGTTTTTCCCGCTGCAGGATACCTGCCAGGCTTGCCCGGAGCATTGTGACACGTGTGCCTCGGCCGATGCCTGTGACACCTGCCTGGTGCCGTACCTGCTGCATGAGGGGGCCTGCCTGAGCAGTTGCCCGGTTGGCACGTTTGCCGACCCCACGGGCGTGTGTGCCGGCTGCCCGGCCGGGTGTGACGTTTGCACGGCCGGCGACCGGTGCGACCGCTGTGCCGGGGCCCTGGCCCTGCTGGAGGGGCGCGAGTGCGTCGGGTCCTGCCCGGTGGGTTACTTCCGCCAGGAGGGCACCATCCACACGTGTGAGCCCTGCCATCCGCTGTGCGCCGCTTGCTTCGGGCCCGGGGCCTATGACTGCACGGCCTGCCCGCAGCCGTTGGTCATTCGCCAGCCCATCCCGCCGGTGGTGCCGGCCCTGACCGAGGGCCCGTGCGTGCCGGATTGCCTGAACGACCCGTCGCAGTGCGCCGAGTGCGAGGACAATTGCGACCTCTGCCGGGCCCTGCCCAATGATGATACCTACTGTTTGGCCTGCAGCGAGCCGGGGCTGGCGCTGGATGGTAAGTGTGTGGAAAGTTGCCCGGCCGGCCATGCGCCGATGGTGGCGGCTGGCTATTGTGCCCGCTGCTCCGGGGCATGTGGCGATGCGTGCACCGGCTCCGGCAGCAACCAGTGCCTCAACTGCCCGCCGGGGAAGCTCCTCCAGGGGGGCGAGTGCCGTGACGCCTGCGCGGCCACCGGCTGGTTCCAGTCTTCGCCGAGCACCTGCACCCGGTGCGACAGCACCTGCCTGCAGTGTGTCGGCACCGGGCCCACCGACTGTGTCACCTGCCCCCGGGGGTCCTTCCGTTTGTCCCCGTCCGAGGGTCTCGGCAGCCGGTGTGTGCCCACCTGCCCGGATGGCCAGTTCCCGGACCATGGGCAGGCCGCCTGCCAGGCGTGCTCGGCCGAATGTGCCACCTGCTCCGGCCCGGACACCTGCCTGACTTGCCGGCCGGGCGAGTGGCTGCTGCCGGACGGCGCCGGCTGTGTGGCCGCGTGCCCGGTCGGCATGGTGCCCCTGGAAAAGGGGGCCTCTCGCCAGTGTCTGGCCTGCTCGGCCGGGTGCGTCGACTGCCGCCTGGACCCGCAGGAAGCCGCCCGCTGTGCCCAGTGCGAGGATGGCCTTCTGCTGCAGGTGTCGGGACAGTGCGCGGCCGGCTGTCCGGCCAGGCAATTCGATGAGGCTGGCGCCTGCCGGGCATGCGATGTGCAGTGTGCCCAGTGCCAGGGTGCCAGCAGCCACTGCACCGGGTGCGCCCAGCCGACCCCCCTGCTGCGCCCGGATGCCGGCCAGTGTGTGAGCAGCTGCCCTTCGGGCGAGGTCCAGGCCCCGGGCGATGGTGGCACTTGCCTGCCCTGTGACCCGGGGTGTGCCGAGTGCAGCGCCCCGGGGGATCCCCAGGCATGCACCGCCTGCCCATCGGCCTGGCATCTGCTCCGGGGCGCCTGTGTCGAGGCCTGCCCCGAGGCGCACTTCTCGGATGTCGGCACTTGCCGGGCCTGCCATGAGGATTGCCTTGCGTGCACGGGCCCCAGCTCGAAGGAGTGCCTGGCTTGCCGGGCGCCCGGGCTGCTGGTGCTGAATGGAGCGTGTGTTGACCGGTGCCCGGAGGATGGGTTCTGGCTCGACACCGAGGCCGCCACCTGCCGGGCGTGCGTCAGCGGATGCACCGTCTGCGAGCAGGGAGCCTGCTCGGCGTGCCAGGCGGACCTGGTGCTGCTCGAGGACCGGGTGCCCTCCTGCCTGTCGACCTGTCCGCCGGGGATGTTTGCCGACCGGGCTGGGGACCACAGCCGGGCTTCCTCCCGGTGTGTGGCCTGTGCCGAGGACTGTCACACGTGCTCCGGGCCGGAGCCCGGTCAGTGCGAGCTGTCCTGGTGCCAGGCCGAGGGGACGTGCTCGCGTTCGGGTGCGCCTTTTTCTTTTGATCTCCCTGCATATGTCGCATTTTTCCCGCCGCCTCGCTCGCCCCTTTCTCTCTCTCTCTCTCTCTCTCGCTCGCTCGCTGAGGGCGGCTCGTGCCTTGTCTCTGACTCCCGGGAATCCCCTCCGCCGGGGGAACTTGCCTTCAGCTCGCTCGGTGGTCCTGGGCGTGGCGGTCGGCGTGTCGGTGGGGCTGCTGCTGCTGTTGATCATCCTGATCGTGGTGTTTGCGGTCTGCCGTCGGCGCTACGCGACTGGCCTGGTGAAGGCCGCCGTCGAGGATGTGCGTCTTCCTCTTTGCAAGGGGGCCGGCCTCCCCCGGCCCCGCGTGTCGGCCATTCCCGGGCTCCTCGTTTTTTTTTGTCCGCCGGTGCCCTGGCAACTGACCTTTTCTCTGCCTTCTCTCTCAAACACACACGCACACACACACACACACACACACACACACACACACGTGCGCCAGGACGCCGACCGGACGGTCATGAACACCATGCTCGGTACGCCCTCCCCTCCCCGGGTCTCCTTGTGCCTGTCCTCCGGTGCTGCTGTGCTCTGGCATCATGTGCCCGGTGGGGCGAATGCCGCGGGCGCAAGGGCGCCGGGTTGGTGCATGGTGCTCTCCTGTCCTTTTTGCCGCCACCCGTGTCTAATTTCCGCCCCCTTCCATTTTGGCGCACACCGTGTGGCAGATCTCTCGATGCCGGGGTTCATGTTGTGCTCCTTCCATGAGGACATCCGCCTGGATGAGGCCAGTGGGGACATCGGCTCCGGCACGCAGGCGGCCATTGTTTCCGCCACCGCGCTCAAGCCGTCGCTGGTGAAGTTGGCTGGCAGCTCGCCGATTGTGGTCAAGTGTCTGCACAGTGCGTGTCGCCGGGGCGGGGGCCTCTTGCCCTCTCTTTCCTCTTCCTCTCTTCCTCTCTCCCTTTCTCTCGCACGCGCGTTCGTGTTGTCTCCGCTGAAAAGCTAACATGTGCCACCTGCCGGATCAGACGCCGACAAGCCTGACTTGCTCCCATCGGACCCGCTGTTGGCCATGTTCCGGAATGAGCTGTCGATCATTTGGTGCGTTCCCTTTTTCCCGGCCGCACGCCGGAGCAGGGGTGATTTTTTTTTTTTTTGATGTTGGGCCCCATGCTGCTGGAGAGCCGGCTTCTCTGACATCGCGCCATGTTGGCCCGGCAATGTCCCCCCCCCCCCCCCCGTGCAGGGCCCTGCAAGCTTCGCCGAATGTGGTTCGCCTGCTTGGCTACTGCGAATCGCCCGCGGCGATGATCCTGACCCGCGAGCCAACCGACCTGCATCGGCTCCTGAACCGCGAGGAGCCCATCTCCATGGAGGACTCGCGTGCGCTTCTGCATGGGCTGTGTACGTGCCTCGAGGGGCCTTCCCACCTTGAGCATCGCTCTGTCCTCGGCTCTCCCCCCCCCCCCCCTCCCTCGCT